ACATAACCCGTTTGAACGGGTTAGTAGGCAGAGTCGAGATAACCGAACGGGATCAGTCGTATGCCGCTTTCACCAATGCAGGCCAGAACACCGCCTACTTGTTCTCACCTTACAGTAGCCTTTTGCTCTGACACTTCCTCATAATCTACCATCACTTACTTTCCGCAGGTGCCAAGATAGATTCAAGGCCGAGACTGATATTGCTACCATTCCTAAATTACTTATTTAGGATTCGTCTGAGGGACATTATTATTATTATTACCGCCGCTATTTTTAAGTCAAAGGTGACACTGATTAAAAGTCAGCGATGTGGCTCAAACCCCCTTGATCTCAAAAACTAGTGTGAGTCCGGATAATACAGATAGTGCCGTACCGGCGCTGAAAAATATAAATTCCAAATTCCAAATACAGGTTTGAGGCTCGGAACATATGGGTGTTTTGCCTTGGTTTCCTCTTTCATAACTCTATTCAACATGAACTGTCTCAGTTTCTCCCATGTTTAGACTGCAATGACTAAGATACTGCTATTAGGGATGTCAGTGATAGGTATTAATAGTTTCACCTGAATAGACGCACCCGGGGTCAGAAGCCATGTCAAAATACAGTCGGAACAACTAGGATAAGGTGTGTTTTTACAGAAATAAACAGAAAAGTAAACAGTGCATGACAGGTGAAAATGCGAGAGAGAAATCAAAAGAAGCGTAAACATACATTCGAGGTGCTTAGACGAGCAGTCGTGTGAGTGGTGCAGACGCATTGCTACCAGCTTATAAGAGTATAGGAAAACGGGCGGGAATCAAAGAACGAGGGGCGAATAAGAACACGGTGCGGGGAACAAAGACGATGAGGAGTGGTGAATGAGGACACGGGAATAAAGGTTGGGGTATGTCAACGAATGGCAAGACAGCCAAAGAGGGCGAGGGGTATGAGCATGGGATAAAACACGTGCACACAGGATGGGACAAGATAATGACTAAGCGGGTTTAAGGACGCATGCTTTGGCCCAGTCTGCCAAGTCTGCCAAGTGCTAACACGCAGTCAACAGCAAATAAAAATCAGAATATGACACTAACATGATGAATGTCACACTATGAGTGCTAATTCTAGTAATCCTTCATACCAAGACCAGTAGATACTCTACTGAATACGGGCTGTACGGGCATGCTTGAAATCGGAGGCTAGTATGCAATCCCAACCTACACAGGCAGGTTCTCACGAGTGATGTAGCCGCTGAAAGCCACTTGATAAAGCTTTGTGTCGGTCGAGCGCCCTGATTGGTTTGTGAGCAGTTTCGCACGCGACAGTTTGGCCATAAATTGCGATGATGCCCGACATATGCTCCAAGCAGGTTGTTGCTGTGATTTGCGCGTGAGTTAGGTTTGAAGTGATAATGGGCTTTCTGCAGCATCAGCCGCTCTCTCTTCCCTCATCCATCTGAGCGCGGTGTCTCTTTGTCTCACGTAAGATCCGGAGAGCCTCCCACGCATTTATGCCGAGAAGGGCATAGGAAGCGCAAAAGGTCCTACCTTTAGGGTGGAGGCGTAGTTTAACATCATGCGCCCCCGCGTCAGCATCCCTCCCAACTGCCGGGTATTTGTTGGTATAGTGCCTAACGATACTAAGAGGGGAAGGACATAGTTTTATATGCACAGCATCTAATGCTATGTTAAAGATAGGGTATGCGCAAGCTCAGACCTAGTTTACCCAATAAAATAAACTGCACTGAATTTGAAAACGCAGAAATTCAGCAAAATTTCCTGGTGATGAGGTTTCACTTGACTGCTTACCATTCGAGTTACACATCGTAGAAAATTCCCTCCGTTAGTTTAATTGTCCGAAAGCTTAGTTGTAAGATCGGAATCCGCAAATTGCTGATTCGACTGTTTTGTAATCTAGGTGTGATTGAACTTTCCGACTCTTCCCCGCAAGATTCAAATAGCAGGGAACTCTCGGTGGCCCGCGCTACTAAATTCTGAAGATGTCGGCTGACGTCATCGTAGACGACGCGCTTGTCGATTTTGCCGACAAATCCTTCAAAATCGATGGAAAAAAGGAGGCCAAAAAGATCGTGCAAGCCTTGAAGAAATGCCCTCAAGTGGCGGTTTTGCGGCTCTCGGGGAACACTTTGGGCGTCGAAGGAGCTGAGGCCATTGGATCAGAGCTATCTAACCATCCGAATCTCAAACACTGTTTATTTAGTGATCTTTTCACAGGTTGGACTCTTAGTTAAGTTTTAAAGCATTAGGTCGAATGGTTGATGAGATTG